AGCGTCGAAAATAGTGCCGTTTTCGGCCGTTAGCGCCCGATTTTTGGCCGCTAGCGGCGAAAATCGCACGGTTTTTGGCCGCTAGCGGAGAAAATCGCGCTATTTTTGGCCGGTAGCGGCGAAAATCGCGATTTTTGCCCGCCAGCAGCGAAAATCGCATGGTTTTTGGCCGCAAGCGGCGAAAATCGCGCGGTTTTTGGCCGGTAGCGGCTAAAATCGCGCGATTTTTGCCCGCCAGCGGTGAAAATCGCACGGTTTTTGGCCGCTAGCTGCGAAAATCACGCGGTTTTTGGCCGGTAGCGGCGAAAATCACGCGATTTTTGCCCGCCAGCTACGAAAATCGCATAGTTTTTGGCCGCTAGCGGCAAAATCGCGCGGTTTTTGGCAGGTAGCGGCGAAATTCGCGCGATTTTTGCCCGCCAGCTGCAAAAATCGCATGATTTCTGGCCGCTACCGTCGAAAATGATGCGGTTTTCGGCCGTTAGCGGCAAAAACCGCCTGATTTTTGGCCGCTAGCGGCGAAAATCGCACGGTTTTTGGCCGGTAGCGGCGAAAATCGCGATTTTTGCCCGCCAGCTGCGAAAATCGCATGGTCTTTGGCCGCTAGCGGCGAAAATCGCGCGGTTTCTGGCAGGTAGCGGTAAAAATCGCTCTATTTTTGGCCGGTAGCGGCGAAAATCGCGATTTTTGCCCGCCAGCTGCGAAAATCGCATGGTTTTTGGACGCTAGCGGCGAAAATCGCGCGGTTTTTGGCCGGTAGCAGCGAAAATCCCGTTATTTTTGCCAGCCAGCTGCAAAAATCGCATAGTTTCTGGCCGCTAGCGGCGAAAATCGCGCGATTTTTGGCCGCTAGCGGCGAAATTTGCACGATTTTTGGCCGCTAGCGGCTTAAATCGTGCGATTTTTGCCCGCCAGCTGTAAAAATCGCACAGTTTTTGGCCGCTGGCGGCGAAAATCACGCGGTTTTTGCCCGCCAGCTGCGAAAATCGCATGGTTTTTGGCCGCTAGCGGCGAAAATCGCGCGGTTTCTGGCAGGTAGCGGTAAAAATCGCGCTATTTTTGGCCGGTAGCGGCGAAAATCGCGATTTTTGCCCGCCAGCTGCGAAAATCGCGCTATTTTTGGCCGCTAGCGGCGAAAATCGCACGGTTTTTGGCCGGTAGCGGCGAAAATCGCGCTATTTTTGCCCGCCAGCTGCAAAAATCGTATAGTTTCTGGCCGCTAGCGTCGAAAATAGCGCGGTTTTCGGCCATTAGCGGCAAAAATCGCCCGATTTTTGGCCGCTAGCGGCGAAAATCGCACGGTTTTTGGCCGGTAGAGGCAAAAATCGCGCTATTTTTGGCCGGTAGCGGCTCAAATCGCGATTTTTGCCCGCCAGCTGTGAAAATCGCACTGTTTTTGGCCGCTAGCGGCGAAAATCGCGCGATTTTTGCCCCCTGGATTTCTCTGGAGGTCCCTTGAGGCCCCTGGAGGTCTCTGTATGCCCCTAGGATGTCCCTGGAGGTCCTTCAAGGCCCTTGCAGGCCCCCTAGAGGTCCCTGGAGGTTCCTGGCGGTCCCCTAGAGGCCCCCTGAAATTTACTGGAGGTCTCTGGAGGTGCCTTGAGGTCCCTGGAGGCCCCCTGCGTGTCCCGGGAGGACCCTGGAGGCCCCGTAGAGGCCCCTTGAGGTCTCTGGAGGCCACTGAAGGTCTCTGGAGGCTCCTGGATGCCTCTGGAGACCCCTTAAGGTTCCTGGAGGCCCCCTGAAATTCCCTAGAGGTCTCTGGAGGCCCCTGGAGGTCCGCTGGATGTCCCTGGAGGTCCCTAGAGGCCCTTGAAGATCTCTGGAGACCCCCAGGATGTCCCTGGAGGCCCCCTAGAGGCTCTTTGAGGTCCCTGGAGGCTCCTGGAGGTCCCTGGAGACCCTTAAAAGGCCTCCTGAGGGTCCTTAAAGATCACCTGGATGTCCCCAGAGGCTCTTTGGATGTCCGTGAAGGTCCGCTAGAGTTCCCTGGAGGCCCTTGGGGGCCACCTGAATGTCCTTGGGGGTCTTATGAGGCCTCTGGACGTCCCTGGAGGCCCATAGAGGTCCCAGGAGGCCCCTGGAGACCCCCTGAATGTTCCTTAAGGTCCCCTGAGGCCTTTGGAGGTCTCTAGAGGCCCCTAGGATGTCCCTGGAGGCTCTCAAGAGGCTTTGAGGTCCCTGGAGAACCCTGGAAGCCCCTTGGAGGCCCCTAGAGGCCCTTTGAAGTCCCTGGAGGTCCCCCTGGATATCCGTGAAGGTTCTCTGGAGGCCTCTAAATGCCTCTTGGAGTTCCCTAAAGGCTCCTGGAGGTCCCTGGAGGCTCCCTGGGGTCCCTTGAGGCCTCTGGAGGCCCATGTAAGTCACTGGAGGCCCCTGGAAGGCCCTTGAATGTCCTGGAGATCTTAAGAGGCCCCTGGAAGTCCCCTATAGGCCCCGGGGGGTCCTTGGAGGCCCTTGCAGGCCCCCTAGAGGTCTCTGGCGGTCCCCTGAAGTCCCTGGAGGCCCTCTGATATTCCCTGGAGGTCTTTGGAAGCGCCTTGAGGTCCCTGGAGGCCCTGGGAGGACCCCCAAGAGGCCCATTGAGGACTCTGGAGGCCCCCTGGAGGCCCGAAGGTTGTACCTGGAAAGCCCATAGAGGCCCCCATTATGGGGTGGTAAACACACTTCGTAAGACTTGACAGTACGAGGTCTCTACTCCCTCGGTAGGACAGCCCTACTATAGTATTAGTCTTATAAACTTTCAAAGGGGCTATAAAACCACCCATTAGCTCCACAAGTAGGCAAACCAACAGGTTGCAGGGAAACAGGATGGCCTGCAGAGACTGTGTCCAGTTACACCATGACTACACTGAACTGGGTTAAAAAAAAACTTGTTTGTGGTAAGGTGCTTGTGTTCCACAGGACCTGTTTTGTGGGTACCCAGATCACTCATGGTGTACTCGCCTACTTGTGCTTGCGGAGGTTAAGCTTGGCTCTTTGATCCCGCCTCTATACTATCGACCGATTCTTGAGCCTACTGGGCTCTATCATATCTACATTTCAAACTGTATAGTGCGCCTCCTTCACATCACTGCCTAATGCATTCCATCTGTTAACTGCCGACCCTGAGAAATCTTTAAACTATGTAGCCCACCCCCACCACTTGGGGTGGATGGTAGAGCGACGGTCACTTCATGCAGGTCTGCGTTCGATATCAATGTGGTTGGTCACCATTCCTTCCCTCCCCGTCCCATTCCCTTGTTGTTGTTAAAGATCTGCTACCTGGAACAGAGTTCCAAGCAGCACGGGCTATGGTGAGCCCGTATCCCATTCCCTTACCCTAACCCCTTCCAAGGGCTATATAGTCGTAATGGTTTGGCCCTTCCTCCCTGATAATTCTTCCTCCCTGATAATTCTCTCCTACACGAAGTAATTATCAAAAGGCACTAAACCGGGCTCCTACACTAAACGATGTCGGCAGCATCAGATGGGAAAAAACTTGACTAGTGGAATAAAAAGATCTTTGAAAGAAAAAAACAAAAGTTCCAGGAATTAATGGAGTCAGCAATACGGGAACGCCGCAGGAGACCAGCGGGAGTGTTCACGAAACTACTTTCCTGTTCAGGTGACGTCCCTAGAGTCCGTACTCCTGCTCCAGGGCGTCTCGACACGCGGGTCACTGACCCCAACGAGCGAGGTTTCGGTAATCTACAAATCATGATTAAGTAATTATCAAAAGAAGGCACCAAACCGGGAAGGCTATGTAGCACCATCAAATGCGCAAAATAATCAGAGGGCGCTAAATATCACCAAGGATGCCAATACGAGAACAAAAACGCATAAGGCGAACAATATCAAAAGTATCAGAGTCGCCAAGAATTCTATTGCTACAAGTCATGAGGCAGACGTTACTCTTGTTGCCAGACCATTTGTGGCCAGCTCTCCTCTTTGGTATTAAGTAGAAATTCATCTTCAACCAAAAAGGATATCCATTATTAATGTAAAAATCTTAGTTCACAATAGATGGAACAAACTCAACGCAGGACATTTGTGCATCAATCTCTTGTTCCAAATTTTAACAAAATCTCATTGAAAGCTTCAGAGGGATGTAAGTAGTAAGTAATTATCAAAAGAAGGCACCAAACCGGGAAGGCATCAGAGGGATGTATTTGTTAATCGTTTTGCTAGAATTCCATACAAGTAATTATCAAAAGGCACCAAATCGGTAAGGCTATGTAGCACCATCAAATGTGCAATTCCATACAACCCTCCCCCACCCCTCCCCTTAGGGGCCCGACAGCTGAGTGGACAGCGCTGCGGATTCATAGTCCTGAGCCTCCGGGTTCGATCCCCGGTGGAGGCGGAAACAAATGGGCAGAGTTTCTTCCACCTTGATACTCCTGTTCACCTAGCAGTAAGTAGGTACCTGGGAGTTAAGACAACTGCCACGGGCTGCTTCCTTGGTGTAACAAGAGGGGCCTGGTAGAGAACCGGGCCGCGGGGACGCCAAGTCCCGAAATCAAGATGACTAAGATAATGGGCGGGTGGTGTATCTTAATAGAACAAATTTTATTCAACTTTTATCTAAATATGCATTTGATGTGTACAATTAATAGTTTCGAGACTATTATACTGTATTCTTTACTATATAGAGCGCAGTTTTGTTTTGAGAAATATATAGACAACTAAGGAAGTCTTAGCTGCGTTGTTAGTTTCTCCAATTAGAATGGGTCTGAATATTCAGCCCATCCACAGACTAAGTCCATTCCATCCAGTGGTCGACCCCAAAGGGTCAGAGGTACTTTTGTATACATGGTTCACAAATCCCTCTCCTCATTGTTCTAATGTCATTGTGACAAGTCAAACAATCGTCTCCTTAACCGACAACTTACGAATTTCCTTTCCTCATCAGAAAATTTTACCCTTAAGACACTTCAGGTCCTTAGGAGCAAGTTTCATAGACACGAAGCATTAAGACGACACCTGGCTAAGGTATTCAAGAAGATTACGTGCTAGTTTAAATTTTATTATTTTACAACATCATTCGGTAAACTAGGCCATTTCCTGGCAAAACTAAAAACTAATATTCTGACGGCATGCGTCTCCACGTAGTCTTGTCGTGCCACTTTATGCCGTTATATGTTCTTCACGTACCCAGAGAGTCTTCTTTGCCTTCACTGTTGTCTGGCAGTGGTCGACCGAGCCTGGGGACGGGAGGGACAGTTATTATAAGAACTAATAGTTGTGATTTTAAGATTTAAGAAATCTTAACTAATCTTTAACTTCTGTAGAAGTCTCTACAGCCGGTGAAGCCCTAATGAGTAACCTGCACTTAAGTCTACCAAACACCCCGTATGTTATAAACAATTTTAGCTGCACGACAAAGTAAATCACTCACCCTCCAGTGTGAGACCAGTTGGTGTGGGACTGTTGATGACCGCCTCCAGGTCCTCCCGCCTCGCTCGTTGCCTTGTCCACATGAACTGGATCTCACCTAAATAAATATTTAAGTTTTAGAAAAATTCTTGGCCAATTAGTAAACTATTAGTACAGCAGGATGAGCATATTTAAAGTTTAATGCACATGCATTTCAATTTATATGTTACACTAATAAGTAAACTCACTTCTGGCTATAAAAGCTCTTTATTTAGTCTTCCTTATCTTTGATACTAACTGGAAGCCTGACAAAACTGGCAGTAAGTTTGCTTCATCCCAGCCATAGGGACTTAATATTCACGCACCAGGATGAAATGGTAGTTACCAGCCCTAGTTTATGTATCAAACTATAATTAAATTAAAATTTACTGAAAGGGGATAGGAGCCATGTTTAAACCTGCATCTCTGGTATTCTTAAGCAAATTACTATCTGATTTAGAGGGTTTAAACAAATCAAACTGGAACATTTTACTTACCATGTTAAAAGGTATTCCACAGGATGGAGGGTCGAGTTGGCTGTGGCTTTGAAGGCTGAGAAGATGGGGGACCAAAGGAAACTTGGTATCGTAAATGCAGGAAGGAGTATGAACAATGCTGCCGCTTTGAGAGAACTGTTGGACGTTCTATGGAACTGGAAAGACTAGTTTGAAATTGGTTAGTGTCTTTGCAGACACTGTACAGTCTTAAGGAAGACTTCTGGGAAGGGAGAAGAGAAACTGGTGCAGAATAGTTTTACTCGCACCATCCGAGTGGTGGTCGGTCCTTCCGGGGAGGGGGCGCGAGGTGAACGAGAAAAAAAATCCTAAAAGACTGTCCTTTAAATCCTAAAGTAAAGGTACACCTCTACTGCTAACAAAGTTTAGTTCACTTTCACACTAAAGCTTAACCGTCTACATTCAACATTAAGTGTTAAAGATAATGTTAAGTAACTGGAATACAGTCAATTAACGTGAATGGCTATACTGTATATTAGCCAACTACAACTTTTTGAACTGCTAGTGGGGAAGTGTCCGGAGACTAGCATCAAAATTTTACTTAAGGCGCGTTTGTTATTCTGACTGCCTTGTGTAGACCCCTGTGGCGATGATAATTGTACTACTACGAACCGGTAGTCTACTATTGTTTAGGTGCAATAGTCGGGACGAATTATTCCGTTAACTTTTTGCACAAGAACATTTTACATAACTACAATGAAATCATGAAAGATACAATCTACCGAAAGACTAATAGTAATTTTACAATTAATTAATACGACAGGAAGCCATAGCGTTTTGAATTTGTAGTGAACTAGTAACCCCACTGCACAGAAAACGGTAATATATATTTAACAGTTTTTAAGGTTGAAGCCAGTCGTTAAGGGCTCGCCTCTGGCATGATACAAGTGAGGTAGAGAAGCGTCACAGGCCAGTTTGTGTCTGCTCTAGTGCCGCACGAACAGTATTGTGTACACTTATCCTATGATTCGACAACGCAAGTCTGAAATAATGGTAGTTCCCCCTATAAAAAAAAAAGGGAGGGAGACGCAACAAGGAAAAGAGGGGGGGAGCAACAGGGGAGATGGGGAACGCAACAAGGGAAGGAGAGGGGGGCCAGTAAAGGGAAAGGGAAGGGGGAGGGAGGGTGGACGCAGCAAAGGGAAGGGGGGAGGGAGGGTGGACGCAGCAAAGGGAAGGGGGGAGGGAGGGTGGACGCAGCAAAGGGAAGGGGGGAGGGAGGGTGGACGCAGGAAGGGGGAGGGTGGACGCAGGAAGGGGCAGGGTGGACGCAGCAAAGGGGGGGGATCCTCACCATACAGCTCACCTTCAAGAGACGAAGCTGGAACTGTATACCAAAAGTGAGGTAAAACAACACTGAAGTGTTTTGTGTCTCATCGTCACTTTTATACCCAGCAGACAACCAAACCCGGCCGCTGATTGGTCGACATTCACCCAAAAACTCACCCTCATTGGTTAACATTTTGCGAGTCTGAAGTGTCAATTAACAATGGCCAACATCCACTCCTTCACTTCCCCAAATGCGAACGAGTCTCTAATAAACCAATAATGTTCCCCAGCTTGAATGTTTGAAGTTGTTAATTTCTAAATCTAATTAGCAAACCAAATGCAACATTCTATTATAAATGTTGCAACAGAATAACAGGTACAACAGAGCAACATTTGCAATAGAATGGGTCGTGAAGTTAGGAGCTGTTAATGGCCGCTCGACAACTACACTATACACCATATTCAATAACAGACTAAGCAACCAAACAACTCAAAGTTCCTGACACAACACTGGATGATGATAAATATTTGCTTTCAATTGACTTAAGATATTGCTCGTTAATGACAAATTAAGTGATTTTAACTTATTGAAGTGTGTGAACATTTATGCTTTATAATAACTATTAACATCCAGGATGCCATTATTCAGAATATTATTCTGCACAAGTGGCGTCCTCGACGATCACCACGTGACGCTGGATGGGTCCTCTGCGCTCCTCTCGTCTTCAGAACAAGACTTCCCGTCACCTTCCTCGCTCTCCCTGTCTCCATCTCCCCAAGGTACTCCTCGAACGCCTGGAGTATAAGTCTTAAGAGAGTCTTATAGGATGTCAGGCGGTTCCCAGCTCCTTCCTACACGCCCTCTACAGCTTCTACCTCTTCAGTTCTGCCTGTTAGAGCTGTATGTTTACCTGGAGATTTATAAGCTTATCATCTTATCGTAACCTCCACCTCAGACGACCACAGCCAGACAGTAAGGAATGTAACGAAGACCGTCTTGGGGTATTAAAGAACATCTACAACGACGGGATAACCTAACACGACATTGCCTCTCACTACGTCAAGTCTGTCACGTGACACCAGCCTTTTATGTTGATGCCTCTCAAGTCTTTCTACTTGGGAACCTGTACACTGAATATTGCTACCTTCACCACTGTCAGTGTATCCTCAGGATGGATATAGGGCCCACAACTAGTCACTCGATGTGTATGGGGTCCACTACCACCTGTTGGGTGGGTATTGGGTCCACTACCACCCGTAGGATGGGCATGGGGGTCCACTACTACCTTTTGAATGGATATATAGGGTCCATTACCCCCCACAGGATGGGTATGGTGTCTACTACCGCCCACCTGTGTGTGTAGTAGTGGACCCCATACCAATCCTTTGGATAGTAGTGGACCTCATACTCATCCTATGGGCGGTTGCAGGCCCATAACCCATCCTACTGGTGGTAGTGAACCCCATACCCACCCTGTGGGCGGTAGTGGACCCCATACCCATCATGTGGGCACATATACAAATCCTCTTGGTGACAGTGGACTTCATACCCATCCAGTGGGTGGTAGTGAGTCCAATACCCATCCAGTGGGCAGTAGTGAACCTAGTAACCATCCTGTGCAGTAGTGGACCTCATACCCATCCAACAGGTGGTAGTGGACCCCATACCTAATCTTTTGGGTGGTAGTAGACCCCATTAACATCGTGTGACATGTTGTAGACCCTTTATCTATCCTGTTTGCAGTAGTTTACCCCATAGACATTCCAACATTACATCGTTTTCTGTTAACATTCATACGATTCATTCTCTAAGAATTTCAAAGCATACACTATGATATATAATGCTTAGCGAAAGTGTCATTATTATATGTAATAAGTTATTAATAATTAATTTATTCTAAGTGCTAACCTTTAACATTGTATAATAGGGATTTAAATCATGGGTTGAAACATCAGTTGACACAAAATGGAGACTTATTATTACTTTTGTTTAACTCTTTCGATTTTAGTAAAGAAAGCATTCAACTGTCAACAGCTATCATCTTCACTGACGACTTTACTACAATCTTAATTATTAATCTTAAAATCATCCAAAATACTAAAATATGGAGCCATAGGTGGTAGCTATGTCTACCACAGGTGAACCATAACTCTTAATTAATAATTTTAATAATTATTAGTATCATTATTCATTATTTAACTTTGCCTCAAGTCAACTACATTTTCTTTATTTTCTCGGAAGATTGCTGTCCTCAGGCTGCTCAGAGGTAATCAGAGATGGTAATTAATTCCTGACCTACAGCTCTGAGGGTATAATGACCTGAAAATTGTAATCTTTCAATTGTCGTGTTATCGCCCTTGATCATGATGTCAACATCTACATTTTGGTAGCATAGTGCTATGAATGAGAGGTCCTTTGTGGGTATTAATCTAGAAAATCGTACTTTGAGAGAGGACAACAGACTGGCTAGTTCATTATGACTACTGTAGCCTGTATCCTCCGTAAGGGAGCGGATTTTTACTCTGTGCCCTCTCATTATCTCAGTACTTTACACATATTAATCACAATAGCGTGATGCATCAAATAAACAAATTCACAAGGGCTGATCTCCCTCTACAATCTCGGACGTAGGTTCGAACCCTCGTCACAGCCCTTGTGGATTTGTTCGTCTCGGTACTTGTTTAGTCTATCTAGTTTTCCTTTCCTCTTGCTTTCCCTTCCTAAGAATAAACTCTCCTTGGCTAAAAGCTAATCACTCCGTCCTTCCACTTGATTGGTTGGGACTCACAGAGGTTAGCCCTCAGTGACTTATTCTCCCCCTTTCTTAATGTGTGGACAGAAGGTCCCCCAAGATAACCTAACCCTGCTACAAGGGTGAACGTGGCCCACTGGACCGTTCCACTTGACTTGATGAAATGGCGAAGCTAGAAGAGTAAGAGAAAGTTGGAGTCTTAAAATAACGATTGTACAGGTATTCTGTATTAAGCCGAGACATTTGATGGGCTGCTCCCAGTGGGAGCTGGTCGTGCAAACACTATGGTGTTAGGATAACCATAACTGTAAATGGATACCCGAGTAGTGATATCACACAATGGTCATTAGTGTGTTATCGGTTTGTTTAATTAGGACAAAGAACACTGAATGTATAGTATGAGGGACCTATACCCATGTAGCAATGTTGGATGCTACCAGCAATGATTTTTATGATCCAAGGAACATGAGGAGAGAGAGCTGGATCCAATTTTCTTCATTGCAAACAGTGATGATGTTACTTCTTATGTTTATATTGGGACAGTCCATGGGGGGAAAAAAAAATCCAGTTTTATATTTACCAATTGCTCATCTGACAACCTGTCCTCTAACAAATTATGTCTGAATTTGGCCATTTGCCCGTATGGCTGAAAATACTTAATTTGAAAATGAACAAAAATTGAAACATTAACATTTTTTTTTCCAAAACAGTAAGTTAAGGGTCCTCTGGTAGGTTAGGAGGGCAGGAAATTCTCCTAAAGTTTCAAGTCATGAAAAACTTTTATTGAATATTTCCTCTCCTAACCTTACCAAGTAATCCAGAGGACTCAAACACAAAACGGGACAGTACAGTACATAACTTTCGTGAGCCGATTTAATTTTAAATTACGTCCATTTTTGGCCATAGTGAACATGAGTGAAAAGCGACTTTTTTTTTTTTGAGGACGGGTTGCATCTGAAGTGGACACCTGTGTGCACTGTAGGAGACTCAAATCCTTATTCTACGCTGGCCAGTCATTTGCTATAGTCGTATATTTTCTGCTCCTTTAGCCAGAGGACAATTACTGCACAAAATGCCCAGCAATGTTTAGTAGGCAGATGATAGTTAAATTAATTACCAAATCTCTAGAACCAAATTCGATTATTTGTAATTGAAGAGAGAGGAACTGAGACTAACGAGACATTCTCAAAGGACTTGTAATCAAGTGGGTCAATACAATCCAGTATTATCAATGCAATCTTAGAAGAGAGTGGGGAAGGATGTGGACCAATATTCATCACATTAACCAGCTCAGCCGAGTGTGCCTGTAACTATTGGATTAGCAACCATCACGTGTCGTGTAGGAGAGATCTGGACCACTACCACCTGACCATTACCCTAGCCGCCATCTTGTCGACACCACCACCACCTCCAGCCGCAACCTCTTGCTAGTTAATCCTTGTATGTACCATGTACAGTGTGAAGGAAGCCAGCAAGTTCATGTCACTTTTGGTAACTGAAGGATTCTGTGAGTGCATGAGTGGAGTATGAGCAAAACCAGTCCAAAGTATGGTGCTCCAATTTGAACCTTATTTGTTCTCTTTTATTTATCTCTCTCAAGGTATTCTCTTGAGATTACCCAGTTGAACTCTGCCAGTGACACCTGCAACAGGCGATGGATTGAGGCATGAAGACAGTCAGTGGACACCCAAGTGTAGGCAAGAGGTACACCGACTTAAAAATGTCGCTCAGTATTGAGATGGGTGCGGAAAATCACACGACAGCTGGTTTTTCAATTTCTGTGTATTTAATGCCCCACTGACATTGCAGTGTGCTGTTGATTCTGTGTTCATATGTAAACCTGAGCCTTCGTAACTGCAGTAGTGGGAGCAGTGTTGTTTAACTGGGTGGTCATTCAGTGTTAATGGTTCCCTCAGCCTAACTTATTCAGGTGGATTATCACAAAGTATCTATTTGCCTAGATTATTTCTTGTATGACCCCAATTAGAGTAAAAAAAATCCTAAGTGAATTACACATAGGTGTTACTTGGTAACAAGTTTATTCAATGTTTCACTGAAGCCTTCTTCCATAGAAATTTATAGTAAAGGAAGAATGAATATAAACCTCCAAATCCACTAGGACATCAGTCATACTGAGACATGTACTTGCAAAATCCAGATTAAGAGGGGAGAGGAGAAATAATGGAGTTCTAAAACTCCCACAAAATGTATGTAACTATATGTTTACCAGACTTATGGGGCCCGGTGATGTAGAGTATTTTTCAATACATGAAAAATAGTGAAAAAAATTTAAACCAATCTCCAGTTATTTGCCATCACCATCATGAAATTTTCCATCCAAATATGTTAAGAAATTATTTGTTTACGATTTTTTTTTAAATAAAGGCATGCGAGACTGGAGGGCAACTGGTACTGATAATAATGATAACACTTCCTATATACCGGCAATCAGGGATAAAGAGATGCAAGCACCTGTCCGACGCACAAAGAATACAAGTAGTAGTAGTAAGGAAGGTCTACATAATGGATATGCAGCTGGTGTCACCTGGTGGGCCAGATTTCAAACATAATAATGAGTTAGCATGTTATCATGCTCTATTTTAATATACTGTATATCATAAATACATTGCCCCAATGGCAGTATTTCTTATATTCCTTTGAACAAAAAGCTGACAACCAATTTTTTTTTTTGTTTACTTTTTCCCTTTTGTTTTTAATTGGATTTTCATGTAACTTCTACATCTTGGAGAATGCATATCCGGCACTAGGCATGTGAAGTTGGAACGAAATTGGTCAACATTTTCTTCAGCTACAGATGTCAGTTGTTACTTTTATTTTTTTTTTGGCCGATTTATTTTCAGATTTCAGGACGCTAAGCCCCGTTAACACCTCAAGGTAACAGGGGGAGCCGGTCGGCGAGCGGACAGCATACTGGACTTGTGATCCTGTGGTCCTGGGTTCGATCCCGGGCGCCGGCGAGAAACAATGGGCAGAGTTTCTTTCACCCTATGGCCCTGTTACCTAGCAGTAAAAAAGGTACCTGGGTGTTAGTCAGCTGTCACGGGCTGCTTCCTGGGGGTGGAGGCCTGGTCGAGGACCGGGCCGCGGGGACACTAAAGCCCCGAAATCATCTCAAGATAACCAAGATAACCTAACCAAGGTACAGGACAATAGTATGGAACTGAGTAAATGGCAATATCTAGTAAGGCGAGATGAAAAAGGAAGAATGTAATCTCATATGCAGGGAATAACAGCGAGAGTGGCAAACAAAAATTCCATTCTGCCCTCTCAAATCTCCACTGAGGACCAGAGAGGGGGGTAGGGGCAACAAGTAAAAAGGGATGAAATGGGAAAATGTCACTTATGGAAATTATTAATGACCAGTTAGGTCAGGTCTGTGTAACTGAAAGAGAAAAGATTATACATGTAAAGGAAAGATTGCAAGTTGACAATTTGAAGAATTGTAAACCAAACACTCCCATTTAAATAATGTTTTGCAGGATCCTAGGTTCAACAAAAATGGTTATAGCAATTATTATATTATTATTATTTCTATTATTATTATTATTATTCTGACCAAATATATACAAATCAAGTAGCATCATAAAATAACCAAACTGATATGTTACATCAAAAACATTACCTTTGGATTGATTTTCAAATATAGCAGCCATAAATACAAAATAAAACAGGTTCAAGCACACCACAGCCATAATAATATCCATAAATAGGATATTCAACCAAAAACATACTTGCAACATATAATACAATAAAAATAATTTACATGGACATTTAAGTTGCACAAACACTCAACTGTCAATGAATTCCAGGTCCATCTTGATGAGTTGTCATTTACAAAGTGCATATGGTCATGTATCTTCATAGAAGTGATTCATCCAAGCTAAAACTTACAGCATAAAAAACCTGACGTGTATCCAGTGCTGTGTAGTGAGAATATCACCAAAATTGTATCACCTGAAAATGGACCCAATAAATAAAAGAAAATGCAATGTGAAAAACAACTCATCATCACATTATGCTATTATTTTTTCGTCCATTTGAAACAGTACTGAATGCCTATCTTAAGATAACATACACACAAATTCACCCACCCTAATAGTGCCAACATGAAAACACGAGACACACCCCAAACAACGAACTTTTGCACTCCATATATTCGTGATCTAGATTTAAAAAAAAAATTGTGCATATAAAAAAATGCAACATCACACTGGATAACACCTTTGTAAACATTCTTTATCAACTTGTTTTGTTTCTTTTCTTCAGTATTACTGTTGCGTGCAGTCATCCTTGTGAAGATGAAGTCTGGCACGGTCTACAGGCTGTCACCGGCACAGGAACTCCCCCTAACATATTTGAGCTGCCAGTGGTCAAACTGGTTATAACCTTTCCTTACAAACTCCCACACTTCAATAACTACTCAATATTATGTATATGTATATATATATTATTCTTAAACTTGATTTAGGAATATTTTATAAAAATTCTAATAAACATTTTTCATTAAAAATTATTTACATATTTTCTATATGTATGAAATCTGCAAATATGGAATGTATAAACAGCATGTGCATATGAAAAAGCCTATGTGCCTCATAAAATGTATATTCAACCTGAATATCTTTAAAATTCTAAAGATTTGCATATGAGATAATACACAATACCAAAAGCTGCATATCACCAATCAAATCAAGTGGGATGCAAGGCTACCACGCCAGACATATGACTGATGTTTGTTTACATACATCACCATGGTATGTTGAAATAAATTATATCACACTTGGCTCATAAAATCTTACATTTTATGATTTTTTTTATGGAAAATTACTGTTTGCTAAAAATTAAATGACTCTGGCAAGAAGAGCAAACAGCACTGTAGGCGCTATCATACGCTGGACTCTGTAATTACAGGGGGGTTTGTGGCAGTGTTTGTTAGCCCCGTAGAATAATCCTGAGAGGAGCAGTGGTCCCGACTCTCACACAATCTGCTCTTTCCAATTATGTCTCCTCTATCAAATACACAGTCTCGCTCACATCTAGCATCTCTACCAAGTTTGAATTCATATTTTGAATCCCGGTCATATATTAGATCTCTATCATATCTATAATCTCTCTTACTCTTTGAGTCTCCATCGTACTTATAATCATAATCTCGTTCACACAGACCTTCTCTCTCATATTTGTAGGCTCTCTCAAAGTCCCTCTCACAAAGGCTTCCTCTTTCAAACTTATAATCTCTATCAAACCTGCTTTCTTTATCATACTTCACATCTCTCTCATATTTGTTGTCTTTATCAAAACTGAGATCACTATCATACCTTAATTCTCTATTATACTTAATGTCCCTTTCATATCTACATTCCCTTTCATACTTTGCTCCTCCATGTTCATATTTTGCCTCTCCATCATAAACCAATTCTCGATCATTGGGCTGCTCCCTCTCGTATTCTAAATCTCTCAAATCACATTTAGAATCCCTGTTGTACTTGAAATCTCCTCTTTCAAATTTACTGATTTTGGAGCTTACACCATTGTAGCAGTTCTTAACCGAGCCACAGTAACTAACAGATGGGAGTAAATTTTGATTCTTACAATTGTTTGTGGGTTCCTTCTTTATAACTAAAGACCGTTGACTCTTGTAGGAATCTACAGAAGAATCTCTCGATTTTCCATTATTTCTTGGGGTAAATGGCCTTGGTGAACCATTAAAGCTATTCGAGACAGGAGTCTTTGGCCGAGGCGCTCGTGGACTTACTGTCGGAGTATTTATTACAACAAAACTTGCAGTCTTGTTAGCATTTGTGCACCTCGTGGACACTCTGGAGGGAGCAAGATTTGATGAAGACTCGAATGTCTTTGTCAAAGGTGTGATTCTGACTTCAGGTGTTGAATCACAAGAGAAAGCATACATTTTATTTTCCCTGTGATCATCTATATTACCATTCTGATACACATGGTCCACACCATTTACAATAGGATTACTATTAATGCTAGAAGTACTGCATGAACTAACCATGCTTGGTGTACGGGACACAACTCTCACACGGGACTCGCACATACCCACACTCGAGGATTCACTGGGATTTCTTGGCCGGAGGGTAAGAGTAATTACACTACGTTTGGGCTGCCCCTCACCATGTCCCTGATGAGCTGCAAGCACTTCTGGTGTAGCTGGGTGGATTCGTACTTCAGGAGTTTGCTCCTCGTGGCTATTTTCAATCACTTGATTCTCTAATAAAGGCACATTGGTCTCCTCATTTGTCATTACTTTGTCAATCTCTGAAGATTCTGTAAAGCCATTCACAGTACCTTGAACTGGTAGGGAGTCACTCATATCTGTCAAGTCTTGGTCCCTTAATGCTTGACATCGAGATATCAGAACTGTTTTGCTTGATGAGCTACGTGGTACTTCTATCATTTCTTGGTCACTTTCCTGCATATTTGCAACACTGTTTTCACACTCCATGTGAAAATCACCATTTTCAATTCCATTCTGAGTTGGTAAGATTTCTACTTTAATTGTTTCAGTCTTCAAGTTGGACTTTGGCATATCATCAGTAGGCGAGTTCTCATTTTCATGCAACGTGCTGGTGGAGCGTCTCTTCAAGACTGGCGATTCCTAAAAAAAAAATATTTATACTGTATATGTAATTAATTAATACTTTTCACACCTTTTATAAAATGTAACAATTTTGAAAGTTTGGGCTTAATACGGTAAACTCTGAATTACACGAGTCTGACAATGACAGCCACGTGAGCCTAGAAATGAAAATGTGCTAAACTAAATGAAAATGAGCTATTTTACAGATGATGAGTCACAATAACATAGCTGAAGATATGATGACCATACCTCTCATCAGAAGATGGAGAAGCGACGATGTTTCGGTCAGTCCTGGACCATTATCAAGTCATCACACGACTGGATGACAGTCAGTCCAGGACTGACTGAAATGTTGTCGTTTCTCCATCTTTTGATGTGTGGTTTGGTTATCATTAACTATTTCATTGAAGTTTCTTTAATATTGGTACTGTATGCACAATTTGCTCTCCCACAACCCTAGCTCTTTTTGTTAGTGTTGTGCACTTCGAACAACCTCTATAAATCTGTAATTAGAGCAAAATTAAAAGGCAAAATTGTACAGTCTTAATGTCAAAAGAGTATGGAAGTATAGGGTGAGTAAAATCTTCCAATTGCAAGCTCCTCACGTGATGGATATCTAAAAAGAGAATTTGGCTTCCATTAAATAGTGTTGTTGTGTGTTAATAAACCTTAACATTTGAGCATACTGTACTATACTGCATATACATCATTTTAATATTTAGGTAAAGATAATAAAAGTCTTGGTTTTGGAACACCTCCAATTTTTCCACAGGATTCTTAAAAAAAATATTTTACGGTTTGTTTTAGAGGGAGTTGTCTAGACACAAGTCTGTGTGTAAAACTGCATGTGCACTACTACATTCTCAGATCCCAAAATTTACAGTTCAAACATTCTGTACACACTATATACTCAAGTGAATGTACATTTATAAAACTGAATATCAACAACAGGAGCAATGACTGTGCTTATAAAGATTCCTATCCCACATGCCCAGGGGAAAGTATATTCTGCACTCAAATAACAAGACTATATATGAGCCACAATTATCCTTGCAGCAAAACTGTTTGGTATGAATCTGTCAATACAAGTGGGTGTCTTGTGCATATCAAGATTTAAAATGTCAGAAAGCCAAAGAAGTGCATCAAGGGTCACTAAATGGACTACAAATTTTTTTTTTTTCTATTAATATTGATATAAAGACTGATAGCCAACAGATTTGTAATGCACGAGCTGAGGTATAGTAAATATTGTATATCAATGGCCCTTGAGTGATGGGGAAGCCATCATTATTTGCAAACATGAAAAATGGAGGCAATTATGGGAAGAGAAAAGATATAGAAAGGCATGTTTAGTGAAGACATTTTCCATAATGGTTGTTCTTTAATTTAAAAGGAAGCCTGCCACCAATACATAAATACTACCTCTGGTAACTTACATCGTGCGAGGCCAGTGGTGCTTCGGTGTCAGATGCATGTTCTCTTTCTGTAGACGATTGTCTTTGGTTTCTTACCGTTGCTGGTAATGTCCCATATGACCTTCCTCTCTCAAAAGGTGGTGGTGGTAGTGGTGCTGAAAAAATGACAGTTAATGAACTACACATGTATGATCTTTTAACATGCAATTATCCATTAGTAGAGTACAAAAATTATATATCAAATATAATAAACCCCCTTTTCTGGCTGGCCTCAAGCAGCTTTTTGAGGTAAAGCATTAGCTAATGACAAGAGACCTCCGAGACCCATCCATGCCAATTGGAGATCAAGACCAGACTGACTACTCTTCAAAAGCGACGGGAGCATAGGGGTCAGAGACCAACCACAAAACCTTGTAACAACCAACCAGAAAGCATAGGCACAACAAAACAAGCAATCACTTGAAAGGAACTAGGCACCCAAAGAAAAATATGGCTAAAATTGTACTCAGACAAGGTGATCCTGCTGGCTCCTTGGTGGTCGGCTCAGCCTTGGTTTCCAGTTATTCAGGTCTGGTGCCGAAAATCAGGTGCTTTTCCATGGGTCCTCCTTTCAGCAGATTGGGAAGGTAACATACCTCACTGGCTCAGCCTTCTCCTCTGCTCTACACACCTGGAGTTTCTGATGCAGGTCGATCACCATTTGTATGGTGAGCAGGTGGCTAGATTACTAGTGTCCCACCTGCATCTCTTTGTGGCAAAAGTATGAAGTTATTTGTCACTTGTTTCTCCTATTTCTGTCCCTACATCATACTTAAGTGACATATTTCATTAGTGGATAAATATAGTAACAGAACGAGAGCTACAATCGTGGTGTCCCGTTTTCCCAGTACTCTGTCACATGACGCTTTAAAAGTACTGACGGTTTTGGCCACCATCACCTTCTCACTTGTTCACTGTCAGGTCCCAGCCAGTTTCGTTTTGCACTGGGCCAAGAAATCTGGCCCACCATCTCTTCATCAACCTAGTACCTGCCAACTATTCTTCTCCCTGTTAAGTCCCATGCTCACTTCTTTCTCAGTGGTTACTCAGCTTCAAAAAGTAACTAAGGAGGTTCTCCCAGACATCCGGATTTGAACGTAACGAAATTCCTCTTTCTGGTAGAGCCCCCAATGGCGCCCTGACTCACTCCCTCCCTGCCAGGTTCCTCGGTTTGTTGTGCACGAGATCCAGACTGACCATGGAGCCAGCCTTGGGGGGGGGGGGGGCCTCCGAGCCGGACTGGGGGGGGGGGGGGCTCAAAGCCGCCTGGTGGTGGCTATTACTACTTACGAATTCGAGCTAGTTTTGAGTGAATCAATTATTTTGAGTGAATAATTTGCAGAGCACATTTTAGATATCCCTATTTGGAAATGAATACGAGATATGCTTTTAGCTAGCCATTTCAAAGAAACTGACTCTTACCTTTATTTTCCTTATTAGCCTGCTGAATGAGAGATGAAGGCAAATATGAGAGAGGTATTCTGTAAGCCCAGTGTTCCGTCACACTACCTTCACTACAGGTGATGTGGCTAGCATCACTTCGCCGCTGAAATATGAAAATGTATTTATTATTTATGCAACATTATTTTCAATGTAATTTTTTATTACAATATATAAATATAGTATTCATTTATACAGATTTTAATGAATGATATCTTAAATGTTCTTTGCACACAGTATCTTCATAACAGTACAGTGGTCTCGGATATTCCTCACCTGATAAAAAAGGATATAGGCATCGGGATCAACCACCTGATCTTCAGATGCAGCCTCAACTTTGCTATCATCGTAACTATACCATTTGTTGTCGGCAGTATTCTTACACATGGCTGCAGAGGAAAAATGACAAAATTAATATGTTCAATAACAGGATAAATTCACTTATAAAGAAAATACTGTATTTATCTAAGAGGTACAGACAAGTTAAATTACCAAGGTAAAGTGATTTTTGGTAGAGTGAACATTTTCCTTAAAAGTGATAAGTCGATGGTTTGTGATAATTATTAATACAGTACTGCACACAAACACTTATATTGCCAGAACTATTATATTCATGCTTGTATGTGGTTCGAAAAAGCATTTACATGTGTGCATTTTGCCACTGGAAGTTATTTTCTTAGTTTTCAATCAATTTTTTTGTGGTATGAATTATTTTATCTTATTAGTAAAAAAATAATCAAATAATGATTTTCACAATTAAATGTAGACTCGGGTGGCATCTACTAGAGGTCAAGAATAAATTAGACAAGTATATCAAACAGCAGGATATAGTTTTACGCCAAACTATATAGAAACTATAAAGTTTATTGTAAACTATTCTTTTATTGTAAAAACCTATTTACAAACTATATAGTTTATAGTTTTTCTATTAAGTGGAAAAACAGAGCAAATGTATTAAATTGCTTTGTTTATTTGAAACATTTGAGCCTGTCACTCTTGACTGGGTTGACAGTGCATAGAAATTCCTCCTCCTTGTGATGTGATTGATGTAACAGGCCGTGTGAGACCGGGACCAAGGTAAAAAAAAAAACGTGCTAGGTGATATACTATTAAGTTAAAATAAATACTGTATAGCAACTCAGAAATACTCAATGAAGATTGCCAAATAAAAACATATGAGAACAGAGAGTTAGATAGGTAGAATAGAGAAGCTACTACTACACCAAGGAGAGGGATGGCTACAGTTGACAAGTTGTTAAGACTTGAGTGTAGAGAGAGAGATTTATACAGCTCACTTCAGCTGGATGATTATCTCCTGTGCTACCTTGAATCTGTGAGGACGTTTGGAAAGTACACAAAGATGCTTCGTACTCCTGAAATTACCTTGCTTGACTGTACGATTGATCTGCTTTGTACCCCCTGCTTGATTGAATGCTTGATCATTCTCCTTCAACAGCCGAATTTTACCTTACAGGGCAACCAAGTTGAATATTTCAGAAATAAGTTCATTTCCGATAAAAAAATACACTGTTCTAAAGAACCCTAATAGTACCCTAACTGTCTTTACACTCACTCACCAGTGTAGTGTCCTCCTTGCATGTCCTTGCCATGATGGTAACACACTGCATACAAATCATAGACGTTGTCATCACTATGAGGTATGAAACGTTTTGGTCTTTTCCAAGGGGACCACACACCACCTAGCACACTCGAGTCCACACTACTGTTAGTGTGCGTGTTAATGGGTTTACTGGCAACATGCTCAGAAATGTCAAAACCAGTAAGTGGAAACTTGACTGCAGTTGAGAGTTTCGAGGAATTGCTCTGCAGAGTGCCCTGTTTAAAGAAAATGAGGATTATTTTAATATTACTATTTCATTCAAAGAACCAAATCATTATTCACAAAACTCTACTCAAAATGAATATGATAAGAGGAACACATGGAAGCAATAGAAACTATTGAATTAGTATCTATCACCATCTACAATAAATTTCCAAACAGGAATTTAAACTACCTATGTGTGTTAAAAGACTTTTTCAAAAGAGCAGACAAAATGTTTGGAAGAGTGTTCCACATGCTGGCACTAAAAAGACTGCTTGTACTAAAATAAATAAATGTGCAAGACAAATGAAGAGCACCTCAAGCATACATGACTGAAAATGAAGGAGGAACAAATGCACACATCAAAGATAAAAAAAAAAAAAAAACTGTGTTGAATGAAAAGAAACACCAATTTCTGGGCGAGTCCTGGTGGCTTACTGAAACTATATGCTGAGATGGTTACCATCAACTGTGTCACCTCAGCAAGAGATCTAGAGGCCTACCAGGGACCAGAGCTAAAACCCGGCCTCCCTCACAGATGCGAAGGGAGTAGTAATATTTATTTTCCTCACTTCACCAGAAAAGGCAACCAGAAAGTCAGAGTCAGAAACTGCTGCTTGATTCAAGGGAGACAGAAGCCTCAAAACCAGCCAAAATAACTTCCCCAACTACTTAACTACATAAACAAACAGAACTAGTGTGAGCTTGTTTGCCAACCCCTCTCCCATGCATTTGAGGGAAGTTGGGGAAGTAGCCCACCACCAGCTGGCATCCCCAAGCTCAGTTCTAGGGCAGATGTAGGCGTCCATCCGATGACCTGGGAGGGAGGGACAGGATATCAGGGAGCACCGGGGCTTACCCAGAAATTGCCGGCTCAGGTGGCACATGAGCAGGGAGGTCAAATAAGGTTGACAGCTTGTGAAACGACGCTTTAGTAGTATTGAGACTGTACACAAGCACGCCGTAAACCCTGAGCAAGTGATTCCCTCCCCCCCCCCTGCCAGTGTGCCCCACTAGCCAACATCACTCCTGACCAGGGTAAAGACCGAGGGGGAAAAGAACCCTCGACTCGCCAAAGGCAAGGGCCACCTCAAGCAAGGAGGACATCTTAGGGAGCAACTCCCTAAACACACCAGAGAAGATTACTGTCAGTGCAAGGACAGTGTTAAGGAGCACCCAGGGAAGGAAACCCTGAATATATACAACTCCAAGTACAGTACACTGAAGACCTGGCTCATGCTACACAGCAGTGCAAGTGAAAGCCACCAAGGGCAAACACAACTTAACTGAATAAACAGGACACCAGAGCCAGTACAAGAGAAAAGGGACACGGTAATCACTACATCAGCACAAGAACTGAGCTTCGGGATGCCTGGCAACGAGATACCTCCCCCTCCACCCTTATGAGTGGAGAGAGGCGGTGCGAACAAGCTCGTGATACTTCCAGGAGAATTTGCTCGTTTGTTTACTTAGTTGAGGAGTTCTTTTGCAGTCTCTTGAATCTAGCAGTAGTTTGTTTTGACACACTGACTTTCTGCTTGCCCCTCCCCAGTGAGGTGGCAAAAATAAATGTCACAGCTCCTTTGCACCTCTGCAAGAGTGCCAGGTTCTGTCTCTGGTCCTTGGTAGCCTTCTAGAACTACAGCAGATGATTACCATCAACTGGGTCACATCTCAGCATATAGCTACAGGAAGCCACAAGGGGCACCCCAGGAAGAGAAAGGATTGAAAAATGCATACAGGTATTTCCTGAAAGAGTAATGAAGTGTAATCAATAATGCACAATATAAAGCAGTAATGCTGCTGCAGTGTGAATGTGCCCAAGCAGAGAACTATCAATGGAAGAACAGGTACTTATTTGGTTGTCCCATAGTAATATTTCCATGACCAACTAAGGCCTACCAGTCTACTACGTGCTAATGGTGAGAACGATTATAAAAACATCTACTGAATCTTGATGCAAAAACTTTTAACTAAGACTAACAGAGGAGCAGAATAAAAAAAATTAGCAATGTAATTCAGCCAAAGCATTGGCTCCTGGTCATTAAATAACTGTACACATCTTACACCCACAAAATTCAAGCATCAAATGTAATGAAATACCCTTTTCTGATGGCCCCTCGGTAGCTCCGAGCTTAACTCTGGTGCCACCAAGACTTAGCCCATTACATCAGAACCCCAAGACCCATCAGTCGCCTCTCAGAAGCCAAGACCAGAATCTAGAAGCAGAGACTGCAAGTGTTGGTTGAGTGGAGCCTAATAGCACTGCAAGGGAGCAGGCTGACAGACCCCAGATGTAGCTGCCATCTGGTGGCAGTCAGGAGTATCACAATTAATGGTATTTACCTCAACAACAATGATTTGACTTGTCTTCCTATGTTTGCCCAATTTCATTCAAGCAGTTGCTTATCTTATTGTGCCTATGCTTTCTGGTTAGTTTTCCTTGCTTTGAGGTTGATCTCTGAATCCTTGCTCCTCTTGCCTCATAGAATAAGCCAGATTTTGGTCCCAACTTCTGGTAGGTGATGACTGGATCTCAGAGGCCTGGTGTGTTGACGTAAGGCTTGGTGGTATCAGAGTTAAACTCTGAGAGCTACTGAGGGCTCCCTCCCAGAAATAACAATACGGTAATGTAATTCTTTTATCATGAAACGGCATGATAAATCAAATATTGAATACAGGAAAACTTTGCCAACTGGAAATGATGTGGATAATCATACAATGTATGTTTAAATATACATTAGCTCATTCATAAAAATTCATGGTAAATAACACTGAACAATGATAAGCATTAACTGAAGAAACTAAATAAAAAGAAATAACAAATTTCCATGACTAAAAGCAATTTTAAAAGCACGGTCCCAATAACGGGTACAAAAATCGCTTTTCTAGAATAACTGTGACCTTATATTTTTGTTATCCACTGACCTTAAGATTGTACTTGATCTGCATTTTGGTATCAGCGTCGATACCACAAAATATGAAAAAAAAAATTAATTGGTCAAAGTAAACTGACGGTAGAGCACAGAGGCCAGAAGTTTACAGATCACAATGAACCTAATTTATAGGTATACATGTATAATAAAAGAACACAAGAGCATTCTATTATAGTGCTTCATTCTTTTCTTTCACTACGAATATAACAGTACTGTATACACTTAGCAAAAACATTTTCAAATATATGTAATCAAATCCAATTCATTTGTTAAAGACAGAAATGCTTCTGAAGATTGCAGGAAAACAAACACCCTGGAAAAAACCATAAAGTGAAATGTGATTTTAGGCTCATGAATACTGAAGTGTGTTGAGAGGTGTAATTATGATGTTCAGAGGAAACCGAGTGCTTCAGTGACTTGGGACAATAGAAACAATGCATATAGGCCTGTCTATTAACACTCAAATTGATCAGTTTGATTTCTACAGATTACAAGTTTTAACATATACAGTACTGTGTGAATTCAATTCTGATAAATGTACACATTTTTATCTTGTCATAAAAATTTATAACAAGATGTAATAACTTTGCACCAAGTTGTAACAAGAGAGACCATTACATTGTGTGTTTGCAGGGTAGACCCTGAATCCTGGATAAATCAGGACATGCTAGTACGAATCTCGGAGATTCAAGGACACCATCTAGTAATCCAACTGCAAAACCAGGCAGATTAGAGCTAAAGTGTTCATGTGAATGGTTAGATAAGGAATGAAGAGATTCTATCCAGAGAAGTCAAGAATGTATCATAGGTCTGCCGAGTCTTGCTTGGGGACGGGGCTCAAACAGGATATTCACCAAAGAGACTTTACTCAACCACCGCAGTATCTAAGTCACGATGACCAAACAGAGCTATGTGGTAGACTCCTGGGCCATGACCCCCCCACCCCAAGATACTAATCACTATCTTATCCTCCAGTCAGGATTATAAACTTAATTATATGCTGACTTATATGAACATGTTTATTGATGCCAAGCGACTAGGGAAGATAAGATACTTGGACAATTGACATCCCCCTTCACAAGACGACTTGCACAAAATCATTTTATGGAGCAACACTTGGGAGATGGAATTCAATGTGAATAAATGCCATATTATAGAAAGTCGAATATGAGAAAATAGGCATTACACAACCTACAAATTATGTGAAAAGGCTTTAAAGAACTCGTGCAAGGAGCTTATGCTGTGCTTTCCAACTTTAGAATTGCTTTTCAGAATCGCATGGATGGCAAAATAGTGAAGAAATTATGCACAACTTTTGTGAGGTAAAACCTGGAATGGTACCTATATTCAAGACACACATCAATAAACTGGAAAAGGTACAAAGACATGCTACAAAATGGCTTCCAGAACTGTAAAACAAGAGTTACAAAGAGAGGCTAGAGGCATTAAATATGCCAAAACTAGAAGATAGAAGAAAAAGAGGCGATATGATCACATACAAAATAATAACAGGAATCAACCAAATTGATAGAGGAATTCCTGAAACCAGCAACCTCAAGAACAAGAGGTCATAGATTCAAGCAAAGGAAACAAAGGTGCCAAAAAAAATATTAGAAAGTTTTCTTGTCTACCGTCTACCTCTCTGTTTTTGCAAACAGAGAGGTAGACGGTTGGAACAAGTCAAGCGGGAAAGTAGTGGAGATCAAAACCAACAGTAATTTCAAAAGTTTTATATGACAACAGTAATTTCAAAAGTTTTATATGACAGAGTGCTGGGAAGACACCAAGAGCGTAGCTCTCATCCTGTAACTACACTTAGGTAATTACACAAAATCCCATATTAGCTGTCTAATTCCCAGATGCCCATATTTACTGCTAGATGAACAGGTGCATCACATGAAAGAAACTATGCTCATTTGTTTTTGCCTCGGTCGGGAATTGAACCCAGGGCTCTAGGACGATGGCCCGAGCAGTATCTACTTGGTCGTGAAACCATTGTGATGTTATGGAGGCGTGTTCTGTTGGGCAAGTTTTATTAATTATCTACTATTGGTAATTTTTGGTTTGATTTATTATTTAATAATGACCTTGCAGGGAGTGTTTCCAAAATTCCTAGTAGTGCCAATACAGTGCTTACCTATCAGTGAGTATGGAGAAAGTGAAATCTAGTTCTTTATGCCCTACTTCCTAACTGTTCACATCTGGCGCACAAATTACCCTTCTCAACATCAACGATCCTGTCTGACTACATAATCCTGTTCATTGAACACATCAAATCTTACCTTAGGCAGCAGCCAAATTACTGGCTCAGAATACAAATTGTACTTTTCATAAACTCAAACCCAGATACTTCGCATAGTCTAGTCATAGCAAATTGAGGTTAATTTAATATGTACAAGATTTTTTTTGAGTGGTGCATGGATACTTTAGGGCACACCATATCTCGGGGTGTATAATTCACTTGTGTATTTATTTTACCTTAATAGGCCTAAAAATAATTAAACTTGAATACAAGTCTTTGAAAATTTCACAAAAAATTGATTAAAAAAGGCTAGTGTACTTACTTGTCTAAAGCGTTTGAGGTGTATTACAAGTATCTGTGGTGCTGACCATAACATGAGTCTCTTCACCACCTGCTGCTTGCGGTTGCAAGTCGGGCAGTGCCACGCATCACCACACCCTAGCTTCTCGGCCGATGTGTGCAGCTATGGAGGAAGCGACACTTAAATTTTTTTTATACATGTGACATATGGCCTAAAACTAGGAAAGCTCTCAGGCTAAATTTTTTTTTGTGTAATTGTAATATTATGTGCAGACATATACAGTATGCTGGATATATTTAAAAACTTGGAACAGAAGAAAACATTTAAAAATAGCAATCTTTTGGGAATTATATAAATAATTCAAAATAATGTTTTTTTCTTTTTCACAAAACCATTTAGTTTTTGTATGTAGAGAAATATAATACGAGTAGACATTAATTTGTTAAAACTGTAGTATTGTGATACTGTATAACATACAATATGTAAATGATACGCTACAAAATAAGATCTAAAGTAGTACAAATTAAAACATTATTTTAAAATTATTTACGGTTATCAACACTGTCAAATATAAACCCTTCAGGTTTCCAATAAATTTAAAATATAAAAAGTGCCAGACATAAAATGGTTATTGATTATTTTGGATAATCGATAAATTAAGTCCCTTTCATAAATTTATGTACTAGTAATAATTAATTAATATAAAATATTAACGTGTTCAGTGAGAATCCACAAGGTATTCTCTGAATACTCTTTATTTTCTTCTCTGAGGCTATGGGTCTCTACACTTCCACCAGAGGTGGTATCCCTATATAAAAAGCAATTACTGTATGTTACAAAAGGGTGACAATTGGACACAAGCCAGTTGGTTGGTAACCACCAGTCATATGCCTACCATAGTTACATTAACAAATCTTCCTTTAATAATGCTCACAAGCTCCCCAGTCAAGAGAAGAATTATAGATTACCGGAAAATAGTTTCACCATATGATTTGATCATGAGAATATTGGTCAACAGGTTGCCCCACTCTTGCATAAACACTACAAATAGCTATTTTTAGGGTACTTTAAATTCAAACATATGGCCATATGTTAAACCTTGTTACTAATTTGTTAATAGGAAAGGGGGCTAGAACACAGAAAAACAAAACACCGAGTTACATTTATCTCCACATCTACTGAAAGAAAATAGTGCCTATGAGAGATCATAAATTCAATGACTGAATTTTAAGCATTAAAATAATGTAATATTACTCCTTGTGTAAGGCCCATGGCATGTTTCAAGTGAAGGGGAGTTACATCCGCAATGAATAAACTGCTCTAGTTCACTGTCTACACAAAAGTAGATAACTTTGACAGCAGGCAAGATTCTTCAAAGAAGAAAAAGAGGTGATATGATCACTACATACAAAATAGTAACAGGAATTCTCTGAAGACTCTTCAAACTAGGACAAATGACAACATATCAGTCTGTCCTATACCATTACTGCATCATGATAATGATCTAGGATGGACCATAACATTGACAAAGCTCCTCTTTCGAATGTGGGGACTTCAGTGTTTATTTGTTCCAGCAACATTACTATGACTACTACATTTGAGTGTTCAATACCTAAACAGAAAAAAAGTAACAATTTAATTTGTCTCTGAAATTATGATAACTAATCTAAGTGGATCGAATGCTTAAGAGTTGATAAATTCAGATAACTATTTACTATTTTTCTATTAATAATTTCTCTTTCTCCAGCAGTCTATCACCATATGCAGATGAGAAGTCACAGTAATATAGCTGAAGATATGATGACCAAACCACATATCAGAAAATTGAGAAATGATGATGTTTCGGTCCGTCTTGATAATGGTCCAGGATAAACCAAAATGTCGTCATTTTTTCATTTCTGATGTGTGATTTAGCCATGCTATCACCATATTCATTTTAGTTTCACTTCTAATTGTATTAGAAGAAAAAAATTATAGTATAAAGGTGCAGGTACATATAATCATAATACTGATTATTACACAAAATTGAAGACTACTGAACTGTATTGCTGAGGAAAAACCATTTTATTACCTGCAAACACTGGTGCAAGGATACCGAGGCACACTGCTGGGGGTTCTCCTTCAGGTCCTTCACACTAGAGTGCACGTCCACATGGTCAACATCATCAATAATGTATCTGCAACATTTAATTGGCTCCCTTCAACATAATATTTGTCATTTTAACTTTATTAAGAATAAATTTCATGCTTAAACTACACTGAAATTTGACGTGGCATGTGGTATTTCATAACTATGTGGAAACTACTTTTAACCTATATTATGTACCCAACCTGATAGACCTGTGGAATAAGAATTGCAAGCCAATAGCAAGAGTGCACTAATAAACGGGCATAAAATTGTCAAAGATGAACAACTTTTGCAGAAATGATCCTTAGATTGGTGATGGTTACCTTCATGACTCAAATTTCTCCACAGAGTACTGTTTAAAGAAATACTCTTATTCAGAGAAGTCAGTCTCACACCTACAATTAAGGATAATTCCTGCAATCCACATTGACAATGTGTAAATCTAGATTTAAAGGAAATTTTTTTTTTTATATATAAACCTGAACATCTTGCAAAATTACTTACGAGGTTCAGTATTGTGTAATCACTTACGAGTTTAACCGTACATAATATGGTTCAATAATGTAAGCAATGTGTTCACAAGCAACCATTATAGCATGTATTTCATCCCACAATCAAGGCAAGGTAATGAATACAAAAGTTAAGCTTTTAATAAAACTGTCATTCACTTTTATATACATGCACATTCAATATTCTAATGAGACTTAAATTTATCTGTACTTCAGAAATTTTAGTTATAAATTGCCTTCAATTATGAAAAAACTTGGATATACAGCAAGAATGACAGTGTTTTAATTCCCTGGTGAAATAAAACGGCAAGGATGAAGGTTACCTCAGTTAGCATTTGTAGGCTAAGTAAACAAAAGAAGGAAAACTAGGGAATGAGACGAGAGAAAATGTTAAATTGTACTAAGTAAGAGAAGATCAAGATAACCAGGGAAAACCACTTCTTGAAAGCATCATATGTATTCTAAAAAGCATAGCAGATTGAAGTGCGATACTCCAACTTGAACATCTTAAATTTACCTCATGAAGGTGTTGTCACAGGTGATCATAACTATCGAGCCTACTATCTAATGCAAGTTTTAATCGCGTTTCATTCAGGTAAACAATGTAATCTACAACTCAAACTAAAGCTTGACAAATGTTCAAAGTGCTTTAAAAAATTGGCCTGCAAGTCTTACTTACTTGTCTTTGGTTTCTGAAGTCCATTGCAGAATGAGCTTAATGTGTGGGGGTCCAGCAGAAGGTTCACAGAGAGCCAAAGCCTGCTCCACACTTTCATGGAACAGTGGAACATCCAGCGCTGGGTCAAGGCACACAACACAACTTCCTCCATCATCAACTCCAATTAGAAACAGTCCACTCTGTCACAACAATAAAAAAAATCACATCACATCATATTAAGAGCAAATTGTGTAAAATTGTGAGGTAATTAAAATCAATTTTATTTTCCAGGAGTAATAGCTGGATCCATCAGTACACAATAATAATGGGCCATTAAAAAAACAAATACAAGAACAATATAACAAAACACAGTCAAGTGGAATATAATTTTAATGACGCCAAACTTAGGCAAGTTAGAAAAACTTACTTCTTGTTCAGACGTCAGGGTATCATTGGTAACCATTGTGGTCATTTCTTTGAGTAATAGTTTTTGTAGATCTACATAGGTTACATCCCGCACCACCTGACTCTGGTATATACCACCAAACCTGAAACAAGACAGTTTAAAATTGCAGCAAATATTATGTCATAATACAAATGTAATGTCGACCAAACCACACACTAGAAATTGAAGAGACGATGACGTTTCGGTCCGTCCTGGACCATCATCAAGTCGATTGTGTCACAATCGACTTGATAATGGTCCAGGAAGGAGTGAAACGTCATCGTCTCCAATTTCTAGTGTGTGGTTTGGTCAACATTTTTCGGCCACATTATTGTGACTCATCATCTGCAAATGTAATAAGTTCTTACAATAATAGCACACTAAGAAACATGCAACATTCTTCAAATAACATAGCCTTAACACATCCCATCTTCACGTAGTCTTGACCCCAAGTCTTGTTGGTGTACTATACTCCATTGTTCTCAGTTTTGCTTCAACTCTCATCCTACTCTTCACATTTCCAAACTTATTTACCTCAATCATTCTGCATGCCAGTAATCCATCAATACTACTCGATACACAGTATATTGCGTCCTGCCTAAAACGCTATGCGTGTTAGTGGCTTTGAATCACTGTAAAAAGTATCAGTCTTATGTAATCTCGCCAACCCATTGTACCTTCTTGCAAAAAAAATATTATTATTATTATTATTATTATTATTATTATTATTATTATCATTATTATTATCTCAGTTCTTTCTCAATTCTCCAAAAGACTTCTGAATCCATTAATACACCAGCTTTCAAAATGTAAACAAAAGTATGAGATACCATGACTGTTGACAACCCTGTACTGTATCACCATGTTAGCAGTGCTTCAAAAATAATGAATAACCTATCCTATTTTTAGATTTGATTTAAAGTATAACAAAATAAATTATTGTATACAAATGCTGTTAAATGGAAGGAAAAACAGATTGATATACAAATGAATGACAAGACATGCACAACACATTACACATAATCCATATAAAGTAGTTCAAGTATCAATGTAAAAATAATAAAGTTTTTCCTTAATAATCTTTTTAACTTTATATCAGAGTCCTTCTCACATACAGTACTGTATACAGTACAAATTTACACATCAGTCATTTAATGCTTTTTAAGGCTTTAGTGCAGCATGCATTAGTTGCATTCTATAATTTATTTCTAAATTCATCAATTTCACCCCAAAACTTGCCGTTTAAATTTCAGGCAACACATTGTGATATCGATCAAATAAAAGGTAATGGAATGTACAGTAAATTAATCACTAACTGCACAAGATTTAAATGTTCTAACAACTCTAGGAGCTGCCTCATAAGGGCTAACAGGCCTCCTGTAGTTTCTATAGTTCTTATATTCATACAGATTCTTACATTCATTCATTTATACATACCTTGAGGTGATTTATCTTGGCGATTTCAGGGCTTAGCAAGCCCGCCGTTGACCAGGCCTCCCTGGTCATACATACATACATACATTTACTCATTATTCAAAACAAATATTATAGTGAATGAACCTGAATGTAAAAATGATCATGTAAACATCCTCGTTCAACCGTTATATAAAGAGTAGCGTATAATACCTTATGTTCTCAGGCTCGGCGAGGACTACATTGACCCAAGTGATGAGGATAAAGGCACCACTTTCTTGTGTGGGCACCTTGTGAGGAGGCAACTCAATAGCATATATGGGGTCACTCTCACTAATGACGTTCACTGAGGCACCATCTATAAAGAAAAGGGCAATGATTAGAGTACCAACTTGCCCACAACTATACTTAACGCACTCAAATTTGCATGCGTTACCATAAATTTCATGTACCAAAAATGCTTCTGGCAAAGCTGGTGAATAAAGAGAACACTACAGTACATATGAAATAAAGTTCAAGAATCAAAACCAAACCAAGAATTAGGAATGATCATTCAAACAAGAATCAATCAATAAGAATGTGTACCATCAAGTAGCCAGACGAGATCTAATGTGGCGATACAGTATTTTTGTTTAATAAGAAAGTTTTCACGTGCTTGTTTTATAAAATACACAAGAAATACTGTACAAAATATCATGTATAATTGAACATTGTTCAACTAAGCGAGGGGCATTTGAATTTTGCTCAGTCTGGCTCATCACCCTAAATACTATACAGAATCAATGAAATCTTGCATATTACACTGATATTTAGTACAGTGCTGAAAACATTAAGTATTTACATTTTAGGTGTTATCAAATTCTTAAAGTCTTAAATGTATCTAATTTTTGTCTTTAACAAAAATCAGTGCAGTCAGACTGTATATGGGTGTCATGTATTGGAAATATTCTCATGTCAATTAACCTCGAGGAACTATGACAATACCTGCAGATCAAATGGTTCATAGTTATCAAAGGAGTCGTTGTAAAACCTTGAACATACACTTCACTTTAAATATGAACTGTACTGCCAACTATTTCAGTTTTCTTTACATAACTCTGATTAAAAGATGGCATAAGAACATTATGGTAGGCTCACTGACCCATTAAAGTACATCCTATTCAAACTCAACCATTTTCTACATACTGTACAGTACACATTAAGAAATGTTAATAGGCCAATAAGATATGCTTCACTAAAATGGATACAGAGATTTATTTTTGCTACAAGTCCTGAAGTGTGAAACCTGAATCTTAGGAAAGAAAATACACACCTGTAAAAGTTCTATGGAAACCCTCTCCATCTACTTCTGTAATAATAAGGCTTTCAGTCGAGATGCCACAGTCTTCAGCCAACTGTTTACGCAACTCTCTGACCGTTGCATTGGCCTCTATACTCACACCCAGCTGGACCTGTTCAAGTGACAAGTTTGGCGGATTAAAAGTAGCATGTACTTATAGTTTACTCTCCATAAGATCACAAAGTGCACAAAATGATCTATGACACTGATCACATTAAGAAATAATTTTGGAGACAATGGGGGTTATTTAAACCAGCATTCTGGCAATTCCTAGATACAGTACCTGCCTTAACCCTATCATGGCCGAGTGGATTAAGGTAGGTGTCAGGAAATCACTAGGATGACGGTTCAAGTCACCCCACTGTAATTTCTTTGTGAACTGATCACATTAATGCCGAACAACTACAATGAAAAGGCGAGGAATGCTAGAGTGCTTCTAGCCTGACAGATATTTTTAGTAGCAGAAATGACGTAATTCCTGCTACTGAAGACTTTCCTGTTGGGCTGAAAGCACTTTAGCATCTCACCTTTTCATTGTGGTTGTTCTTACATTATCCCTAGCTGCTATGCAACAGCAAATACAGTAGTTCCAAGTGACTTGCACAACCCAACATAAGTTTCAAAGTAATTTATTTCTACATACTGTACAGTACATATACAAATATACAAATATAAAATATTAATTTTATATTTGAATATGGAGCATATTTATAAGCTTAAACATGTGCACTGTACATGATTGTAATCACATTCACATTTCATAAACAAATTGACACGTTTTTACAAATACATAAACTGTCATAAGAAATAATACATAACTTTTTATAATAATACAGAAACTGTTCCAGTTCATTGTAATATAAAGAGTAAAGACATTAACATTTCTTTCATACATTCCCAGACAAGAACATTTGTCAGTTAGTGATTGGTATCAAATGGGTAGAATAATTCTGGACAAATCACAATAGCTTTTAAGGCCACTAACCTGCTTGGGTTGTTGGTTGAGGTAGACAACGGTGACAAAAATGGACTGTACTTGTCGCTGAGGGATAGGAATGGACACACACAGAAATGGATCGAAGGTGTTTGATTCCTTCTGGCAGTGAGGACACTTCAATGACGATCTGAACTGAGCCTGAAAAATTACCAAAATAAAATTTACAGCTATATTAGGAATGAATAAATTATCAAGTTTTGCACAAGCAAAAGATATATATACAGTATGGTAAAATGAACACAACGACTGCAATACACTATGTTCAACAGGCATAAAGCACTGGGAATTAAAAGAATACCTTAAGTTCATGTGATGAGAAGTGAGAGAGAGACAGACAGACAGACTGTAAAGATTTGCACAAGATTTTCACCTTGAGAACAAAATTTGAGAAAATATTGAGATACTCTTATGAGTATCCTCATTGGAACTCCTGTGTATCTCTTTGCATACCAGCAGTGACAGGAAAGCCATATTAATGATTGGTGGTTAAGTCTGTGTACAGGTTTTGTTTTTAATGAAACAAATTGATCAGATGTTCCATATATCCCTGATATGATATTAGCCTTGCCAACACTAATCTCAAGTAAATCACTTGCCCTGTGTATTAACAAGTTTATTGAATAAACACTGCGTTACTGTTATACGCATGGTTACGTTAAACTTCCCTAAGTACTGCTACTCCTACTTGGGCTCAGGCATTGTAGTAGCTCTAATGCTCTTCAACATCCTTCAAGCCTTATTCACAATAAACCAATCACTGATGCAGTTGATAATACTTTTGTGTGCTCCCTTGAACTGAAACTTATTTAAGAGGACAGCTCTCTTTCCATGACCCTACTGAGAAGATGCCTTGTTAGCAGTGATTATCAAAATAAGCCTGTAAAATTGCATGGGGGACGATAGAAAATAAACAATTTTTACAAGCAAATATAAACAGAACAAGAGTTCACAATTGTAAATTATAGGAAAAAATGGTGTCATGATTTAAGGAAATACTTCCTCATATACAGTGGCAGTTTGTTGAAACTGGCTCATTGTAGAAGTCATGAACCAAAATTGACGAGATTACAAAAAATAAAAAATATACGCCGTATTGACATAACACCATGTTACCTTTTTTCTATAAATTAACTCCCAATTGGTAAAAAAGGATTAATGCAAAAACATTTTTATTTCTTACCTGAAAAATATCATGTATAAAACTGCTATTACATCTAAGGTGGTTAGCAAGCGTTTCTGCTGCCACAACCTCGTCAGGACGACCATAAGTGTTCTGCAAGAAAAATAGTCAAAGTCAAAAACCTATGATGTCAAAGGAATTTATACTGTGTACCACATTTAGCACACTAACATTTAAACACCTTGCAGCATTCCCCACCCAACACCGTGTTTCGAAATGTTCTCGTTGTCCAGCCAATCATTTTTTCTAGCTGGACACTGAACTGTACATGCTTCTCATGTACATGTACAGCTAAGCACTATGTCTAGGAAGGCTGAACAATTTGTACTTAATCCTTCCTGGTCATGCAATCTTTAATCATAATGTTAAGCAGTAAAATTGCTTGAATTTACTTTACATCAATTAACTATTTCTTCCATATTTGTTTATTACCCTATGGGTGAAAAACGTCCCCTATTTTCTGTCCTACATTATGACTTGTTGAACTTTAAGCAGTTGTGCCCTGTGAGAGTTTTATTGAACCTTTAAAAGAAGTACTGTACATGTAGTCTGGATTAATATCCTTCAATTTGTTAAGAATTTTAAAGGTCTCGATGAGATCAGCTTTGTCATGTGTGGTTTATGGTGCTATAGCCCTGTGGCCCTCAATCGTTGCTGGTACTGTATTAAGAGTCGACTTAGTTTTTGGATGATTTTATCACTCTGTATTGAACTTTTTCCATAGCAGTTATGTTCTTTTGAAGGCGAGGTCTCCGTGCTTGGATATGGTAGTCCAGATGGAGGGGCATCAGAGCGCTCAACTGCTGAATAACAACTTTCTTTTCCATGAAGTGTTAGCTTCGTTTTCCTTAACATTGGTATTTTTTTTTTTTTTTTTTTTACTGCAGCTCATACTTGTTAAGCAAGTTTGAAGGACTGGTATATCATAACTCTTTGTGCCTATTCTTTATTAATGTGCTGCATGGTCGTTGTGTATATTATAATTATTATCATTATTATTATCACAAATAATAATAATATTACTACAGTATAACTAGTTTATATGTTGTGATAATGTTGCTTTTGCTATTTATTATCGTTATTTTAATTTAAAAAGACATTAACAAGACTAAACAAATGTTTCAAAAAAATAAAGTACTAGCAATTAAGACCGACTGAGAAATAAAATCACAGTACCGACTAGGTCATTGACTAAGTTAAAATAGTTAATAGTTAAGAAGCATTTCCAGTTGTCTAGGCCTAGCACTACCCCCAACAAACCATTCTCCACAGAGTCCTATATACATAAAAAATGGTGCATACCCCACAAGATAATTGTTGCCCAGGAGACTGGCCCTTGACACTGACCTTGCTGGCCCTCCCTCTCCTGCACTGAACCCCCCCCCCCCATCACCACCTACCACTTCCCCTCCCCCTTCTACTCTCCCCACTGACCCCAGCCCTCAATGCCCCTCTCCCCTCGTACAAGCATCCCAAGAGATGTGATTTATTGCGCGCCACCACAATCTCCCAGCTTGAACAATGAGTCCAACAGTTGTAATTAAATTTTGTCAATAAAGATGTTAATAGTAAATAACCTATTTACACTTTTGTTACGGCAATGTTTCCTATATTTGTTTGTAGAAAGTTGAAGAGCCATGGGCCACTATGTTGATAGTGGCCCGCTTGAAAGAGGCGGGCCGAAAGAGCCAGAGCTCAACCCCCACAAGCACAAGTAGGTGATTACAGTACAAACGATTCATGCATATTTTTTTTGCAAATTATTGCATTTGAGGTTTTTCCTCGGTGGGTGTTTCTGGGCTAGTATTTGAAACCTGATCTGTGATTTTATTTGTGGTTTCTATCGTAATTTTTTTTTCCAACCCACTTTCCTCCTGTTTTAATTGTGGCTCTCTCGTTACTAACGTTATCGATAGATCTCTCAGCGTTGATGTCAGCAGTTTCTGAAAGCTGTGGCTTTGATTCTCGACTATTATAGTCTCTCTCAGGGCTCCTGGCTCCAGTCTTTGATTGGTTATATTATTATGAGCGAACACCGATCGTGTGGGCGATGGTGGGAAGGTTACAGCAGTCAGCAGGGCGAGTGCTGACCCCAGCTTGTGTCATCCTCTGTTCATACCAGGTCCTCATCATACCAGGACCAGCGTCACCGGTACCTCGGTGGATAGTACCGGTGGGAGTCAGAGGTGCGCAAGACTGCCACCCGAGACATTACACACATATGTAATCAGAACGTGCCCTTGCACCCCTGCAGAGTACGCAACAACACCTCACGTTGTTACACCACTCCAAGGTAACTTCCAAGGTATTTAGTTTCACGAAAGACCTGACTACATACTGGAGAAGGTTTTGCACTTTTAAACTAGATTTCCGACCTGATGCCAAGTGATTTATCCAAACATTTATCACGGGAACGCGATGTATCTATGAAAACAGTGACGTCATATATTGAGATAAAATTTTGGCACACTTTTATTCGAGATACTTTCAGAGCTCACATCATGGTGAAGTAGGCAGTGCGTGTGTCTGGGGGTGCCCAGGGAGGGGAGTTTGGTCCTATAATGCTTTAACATTCTCTTGAGTGACTGCATAAAGAGTGGACAGGGAGGCTTGGCCTGGAGGAACTGTTCTTGCTTGTACAAACAACTGCCAGGTTTTAATGTTTTTGTGGTGGTATGTTAAGGAGATTCTTGGCCAACTTTGTTAGTTTGGCTCCGGCACTCAATCTTGTCTGTATAGCATTTTAGGCCAGCAGGTTAGTAGCTTTCGTAACTTCACAACCCATAATATAGAAATTTCCAAGTCTGATTGTGAAAAAGATCTGGGAGTAATGATTAGTAGGAAATTCAAGCCAAAAAATCAATGCATAAATGTTCGAATAAGGCAAAAAGCATCTGGAGTTTTATTCATAGACGTTAGTCACTTATTATGCTGCCCGCACCCAACATGTGGGCGGTGTCCTATTTGCCTTATTTCGAATATTTATGCACCGATTTTTTTTGCTTTAAATTCTTATTAATCATAACCCGCAGATCCCTTTCACAATCAGACTGCGCAATCTCAACACAATCCAGCTCATCTCCTGTAACTATCCTCATAACCTAGCCTAATAACCTTGCATTTGTCAGCACTGAACTGCATCTGCCAGTCGTTTGACCATTTCAAAACCCTATCTAGATCGTCTTGAAGTGATTCTGAGTCTTCTTTAGCGTTTATTTCAAATTCACTTTAATGCATTCAGCATTAAGCAGTATTTATCAAAGTTAATCCCACGCATAGGAAATTTCAATGTGAAGATTAAGTTTTCAATTACTAAATTACTTTTTACTAAAAAAACAGAGTTGGGGTGGCAAGAATGAACTGTACAAGTGAATGAATGGGCATAAGTAATATTTAAAGGTATTAAATACATCAACACGAAAGATAGATATAAATTGACCTTTCTAAGGAGTACAAATGAGGCTATCTAACCTTATGAAAGGGGCCATGGGACCAGGATTTAAAAAATTGTTGTAAGGTATTCATAATTTATTATCCTGATACATGTGAAAATTCGTGGCGCCATAACCATTTGTTGTTATTCTCCTCATTCTCCCGCCGCCTACGCACCACTGGGAAATATTTTATATAATACGCTGATGAGGATCAGTGACGCAGCTACGGTACACATTGCTTGCATTCTTGCTATGACCATTGCTTTAGTTCATTGGGAGTCGGTAATTTCTCTCCTATCAGTCCTGAGTGTTTGGAACAGTATAGTCTTGACAACAGAGATGCGGATACATAGGTTCAACTTCATCTTTGTTACACGCTAATTTGGCAGCAATGTCTGTCATTTGGCTGTCAATGTGTGTGTGTGATGGTATCCATACAAAGGAGATTCGAAACCTTTACTCTGTGCAGCGATGAGCCCTTATGTTTAGAGGGAGTGTTTAAAAGTCTTGGGCCCGTGATGATGATGGAATTCTCTCTCAGCGTACCTATTGCACCTCTGCTTTTCAACGGGGCTATTTTGCACATCCTGCCATGCCTCCTGGTCTCATGTGATGTTATTATCGTGTGCAGATTTGTCCCTCTAATATTTTCCAAGTGTAGCTTATCAAGTATTTCGTCTGCGCTATACGGAATACAGATTTAAACATTTTAAGCGGTCCCAACAATTTAGATGTTTTATTGAGTAGCTTCTAGCAGTGAAAGATCTTTGTAGGTTCTCCAGGTCAGCAATTTCTCCAGCTGTACTCACCTATTTGTGCTTGCGAGGGTTGATCTTTGGCTCTTTGGTCCCACCTAGGGACCAGCTGTGTAATCATCTAGTTGTGCTTGGTTGAGTTTCGGCTCTTTGGTCCCGCCTCAGAACTGTCAATCAACTGGTGTACAGAGTCCCCAGCCTATTGGGCTCTATCATATCTGCATTTGAAGGTGTGTGTGTATACTAGCGTGCTATTTAGAAGGCAGGACTGACTAGCCGCAATAAGCCTCAGGTATGTATTCATGTGAAGCCTGTATACGAGTTTATACAACCTCACAGGCCAAGCCTCCACAAGCCAAGCCCCCACAGGCCAAGCCTCACAGGCCAACCTCTCAATAACTCTCACTACTGCACACAAAATGTTGAGGGGCTGTCTATTGAGGTCTCCGTGGCCTGAACTGCTGAAGAGGATGTCAACAATGGCCCTCACTTTCACTTCCTTCTCACCAATTTTTATATTAGCGAGTTTAGGCGAGACGCAAGAACCCGCCCACCTGATGTGTGCTTAATTAATTAATTAATTTAAGTGTTCATGTTTGCCACATGTGTTTTAGAATCTCGTTACCACGTGTATTATTAGGCTTCTGGACACAACACCCGCCATGCGAGTCTTCTGTTGCGTCCCTCACAAATGTTGTCGTATTGCAACCCGTTCTCGCAAATTTAATAAGTCAATATTGACTTATTAAATATGTGCATAGGTGACACTTAACATAATAGATACCCTTAAAAAGATTCATAGAAAACACCGACCTTACCTAACCTTGTTAGTATCTTAAGATAAGCATCTTATTGCTTCGTAATTACAATTATTACCTAACCTATAATAGGTATAGGTTAAGTA